TGTCTCTGATATTGTGGTGCGCTGAAAATGTAATAAAAGTTTTATGTGGACAGGTGTTTGATAGCATCCATGATGACAAAATGTTGTGGAATTGATTATGTGACCTACCTCTCTCCCTTCCATCCTCTCCCACCTCTTTTTCCCACTCTTCCTCTCCTTTACTCTATACACATACATACACTTATGTATGTATTTATTTCAGTTTCTGTGCATTTCAATAATGTTTTGAATTCTCTTTTCAGGAACAACCATACCTCCACTTCTAAACAGTACATCAAATAATCTGTACCTAAATTTTCAATCTGATATCAGTGTTTCAGCTGCTGGATTTCACCTTGAGTATACAGGTAATTCAGAAATACTCAATTAATAAAGGGTGCTTGCTGGTTGTATCTAAACTATATGAAATAGGAATATTTAGGACTATTGCACAAAATGAGCTTTCTTTCTGAATGACTTTGTCTCAGCTGACTGACAGGAATTCTGGCAATCACTAATAGTTTGTTGCAGATTTGCGAGTTTGGGGTTTTTTTTTCCTTCCCAGCTGTGCAGTTCCCTCTGCTTATATTGGTTCTGGTGTCTGATCTGCATAATTGTGTCATGGTTATTTCTTGTCAGTTTTACTGTATGCAAATCCCATGCTCTGGTTGTCTGATTAGCCAGCTGGAGAACACAGCCTTGCAAAATTGCTACCTGATCACTTGTCTATAACTAAACATTAATTATAGGTAGAATTATCCTGCCATTTCCTTGAAATGCAGGTACTCTCTCAGCTACTTACAACTTCGAGTGGGGAAAAAAAGCAGGAAGTTATGAAAATGAAATAAAATAAGACCAAATCTAGTAAAAGTGAAAATGCACCTTTGTATTCCTATATGTCCAAATAATGTGTCTAGTGTACTATCTGTGTACAATTTTCACCTCTAAAAAAAGAAAAAATTCACAGTATACTATTTATAGTATTGGTCCATGCTGAGAACAATAGCCAAACATGCATGTATGGATTTATGCAGAGGTGTATGTGTATGAATCTGTACAAAAGTAATGTTTTCTGTGTGAATGTTTAAACCCAAAGTATATGTTGAAAATTTCTGATTCAGGAAATAATATTGATGTCCCTCAGTAGATACCAAATTAACCAGTAGCTCAATGAAATATGCTATTCTACAAGGTAAATGAAAAGTAACTTTTCATAGAATCACACAGAATCACAGAATCAATCAGGTTGGAAAAGACCTCTGAGATCATTGCGACCAACTGTTGACCTAACACCACATTGTCTATTAGACCATGGCACTACGTGCCACATCCAGCCTCATCTTAAAAACCTCCAGGAACGGTGAATCCACTACCTCCATGGGCAGCCCATTCCAATGCCAAATGACTCTCTCTGTAAAACATTCTTCCTAATGACTAAACCTCCCTGACACAGCTTAAGACTGTACCCTCTTGTCCTACTGCTGGTTACCTGGGAGAAGAGACCAATGCCCACCTGGCTACAACCTCCCCTCAGGTAGATGAAGAGAGTGATGAGGTCTCCCCTGAGTCTCCTCTTCTCCAAGCTAAACAGCCCCAGCTCCCTCAGCTACTCCTTGTAGGACCTGTGCTCCAGTCCCTTCACCAGGCTCGTTGGCCTTCTTTGGACCTGCTCCAGCACCTCAATGTCCTTCCTAAATTGAGGGGTCCAGAACTGGGCACAGCACTCGGGGTGCGGCCTCGCCAGTGCCAAGTACAGAGGTCCTGCTGGTCCATTGCCCTGGTCCTGCTGGTCACCGTGTTCCTGATCCAGACCAGGATGCCATTGGCCTTGGCCACGTGGGCACACTGCTGGCTCCTGTTCAGCTTCCTGTCAATCCAAACTCCCAGATCCCTTTCTGCCTGGCTGCTCTCCAGCCACTCTGTCCCCAGCCTGTAGCACTGCAGGGGGTTGTTGTGGCCAAGTTCAGGACCCGGCACTTGGCCTTGTTGAACCTCATCCCATTGGAATCAACCCACCTATCCAGCCTGTCCAGGTCCCTCTGCAGAACCCTCCTGCCTTCCAGCAGATCAACGCTCCCCCGCAAACTTGGTATCATCTGCAAATTTGCTGATGGTGGACTCAATCCCCTCATTCAGATCATCAGTAAAGATATTAAACAGGATTAGGCCCAACACTGATCCCTGGGGGACACTGGTAGTGACCGGCTGCCAACTGGATGCAGCACCATTCACCACTGCTCTCTGGGCCCCGCCCTCCAGCCAGTTCTTAACCCAGCAGAGAGTGCCCCTGTCCAAGCCATGGGCTGCCAGCTTTTCCAGGAGCACCTTTTTTTTCTCCTTATATACCAGTTTTTCCAAAATACTATGCCACTTGCTAGTCCACAGACAACTGCCAGGACCCAAGAGCTCCCTAAAACTTATCAATACAGTGTGCTTATATACAGCGTACAGAGAAGTTCTATGTGAATCTAACCCCACGTTTTATGTTCCTTAGAACATTTAAACTTCTCTGCTTTTCTCAGCTATAGGTTTGGATTCTTGTCCTGAACCACAGACCCCAAGCAATGGAATCAAAATTGGAGACAGATACATGGTTGGAGATGTGGTGTCTTTCCAGTGTGATCAGGGTTATTCTCTTCAGGTAAGACAAGTTTCCAATTTCAAATTTCTTTTAATTGTTTAACATGGTTATGTTTACATCTGTCAGTGTAAAACAGACAATGAACCCTTTGCGAATTTTAAACCCATGATGAGTTTGCAGGACTGGTAGGCTTTTCTGCTAGATATTAAATTAGCAGCTATCCAAATATACACATAGAAGCTCCATCAGAAATGTATGGCTTTGTGCTTCCTCTGCATTAGTGATTATAAGTTATCATCTACTGTTGATGGCATCTTTGGTACTCATAGCTGATACCATGAAGTGTTGGCAAAATAAGTTTAATCACTTTATGAACAATTAACAATAGTTGTCTATGCACAGGACAGAAAAGAAAGAAAGTAAGGAGTGGGAATAAGAACAAAGGCGAAAAATTGTTTTTCTTAGTGAATCAGATAGTGTCAGTTATTTTCTTTCAGTAATATCTTGAGGATTTTTATCCAAAAAATTTATCAGATAGGGGTGTATTTTTGCCAAGCAAATTTGCTATGTCCTTGCATTAGCAAAAGTTATAACTGGGGCAATGTAGTGATTGTAAATCATCAATAGGAATATGTCTGCCTATAGGAAAGATGTGGAAAATATTTTCTAAAATTTGTACAGTTACACTGTAGAATCAGATCCAAAACTGAGTATTGTTTTCTCTTGACATACTCCCCCCAAAAAACTCGTGTGACTCTGCAGATTCTACAGTCTCCCCTTCCTCTAGCTCTTTGAGAGCCAAAAAGAGAGAAAATAATCACATTACCTATGCATAGCAAAAAGAACAGTTTTTAACAGGGGGAAAATAATTTGTATATAACAGCACATGATTAACCACTAATGGAGTTATTGGTGCCTTTGAAGCAAAACAGCAAAAGGAAAAGTTAACTTCCTGTCTTTTTTCATGAATATCAATGTCATCTGTAACATGTTGATGAGTGTCAGACAACTAAATGAGGTTTTAAAAATGCTAATCATTTCAAATATGTCTTTTACATAATTCTCTGAAGACCTAGATACTAAGTTCATGTGTACTGCATCAAAAATAGAAATTGAATTATACTTTTTGACAAAAAAAAAACCAAAAAACAAAAACAAACCAACCTGCAGTTTATGTATAGTGATAGAAGCTAAATACACTTGTCTTCTTCCAGATTTCAGCTGCCACTTGGATTTGGAACCTGTATCACAGTTTCCACTTCAAGATAGAATTCCTAGTCATGCCTGTAGATTTCTAACATTCCAAGAATAACTGAAATAAATGTTCTGTTATTGCAGCTCTGATAATGACTATTGAAATTTATTTCTTATGTTGCCTGATTTTAACTGGTCATTCTTGGGAAGAACCTGATGAATTTTTTTTATTCTCTGCTTTAATTCCGCACTTAAATACAAGTTTGTGAGCAGATAAACCACAGTAAATGGGTGAAATAAAGAAAATAGACTGTGCAAACACCCATGTAAAGCTTCTTCCCTACATATTGTTTTTCTGGCTTGTACAGTGTGACTATATGGTGTTGTAAGATATCCCGAGGACAGTTTTCTCTTAAGATTTTCTATTTTTTTTTGCTGTCACTGGAAGACAATTACAATTATATGAGTCTGATGAACAATGCAGAGAGTGTCCCTATTACAAATTTAAGATGTAAAGTCAGTGGTGTATAATTTACATAGTTTGTGTCTTTTATCATGCTCAACAAATAAAGCAAATCAATACTATGTAAATATTGCTTCAGTTAGACCTTCAGTTTCCAGATCCTTGGTTTATACTGAAGTGTGTACAGAGGCCAGCTGGATATTGCTATACTTTTAGAAATAATATAAATGGCATAGACTCAGTTATCTAGTGGACTTACAGTCACAGTCTTCTCTATTATACAATTCACAGTGTACAATTATTGTTATACTTTTGGGTTTATATATTTTGATGATGTATTAAATGATACATTATTTTTGTTGAGATATTAATGTTGTGCTGTATGCTGTATATTTTTTATATGAATTAGCACATATTGTGTCATTTTAGGGACATTCACATATCACTTGTATGCCTGGACCAGTAAGAAGATGGAATTATCCAATTCCAATATGTTTAGGTATGTTCAGTTTACATAATGTTTCTTAAATATGCCAGAATGAGAAAACCAGAGAACATAAAATAGATACATGTAGGGGAAAGAATAGGGACAACTGGAATAACTTAATTAAATGTGAAAATGGTCAAATTAAACTAAAGGTTTTCAAAGGTTGTCTCAAACTTATATTGGCAAATCTTTTCTGAAATGTCTATGTAGGAAAAGAAAGAAGTATGTTGTCCCTTTCAATCCAAACTGTTCTATGATATGATTCTATATGTTTAGCCAGAATCTCTCATCAGTTCATCGATGATAGATTCAGATGATATCAGAATTGAGACCTCCAGAGACCCTCAAAAACATAAGTAATTTATTTAGGACTCATTTCCCCAGAAAAGTGATGGCTATTGTAGTAGATACTAAAATAGAAATGACATTGCATTTTCATCTCTAATGGGTTCACATAGGCATGTCTACCCAATATCAGAAAACACATTATTTGTCAAGTTATATTATATACATGTCCATATTAATATTACTGAACAAAGTACTGAAAACCTGTCATAAATGGAAATGAAAAATCTGAAGTGTATTTAAATATACTCTCTTTGTATGAGGAATAAATGTGAGGAATTTAAAACTTCTAGTTGTATTCTCTTTCACTGCATAGAAATGCCTTTTTGTTTGGGTTCCCGAACACTAAAAGTTATCACTATTTGTAATCTTGAATGTATGGAAAATAGGATCCTGCTCATTAAAGATTTTCTACTTTGCTTTTCTTGAAGACAGATTATATATCCTCTTGAGCAGCCTCCGATAATCCTGTTCTTAATCCTGGGGGGTGTTAAAAACCTCCTATGAGGTACTGAGCTCCCTCAGTTTAGAATTTATAAATATTCAACAAGATTGAGATATTTGTAAGAATTTTTTCAGGAGTTAGTCTTCAGTTTCTGTCATTAAGCATTAACATATGGTTAGGAAGTCTGATATTATAATTACACTGCTCCTGGTAAATTCTGAAGACAAAGACAGTGTGCTGAAATTTTAGGAAGTTTTCTTCCCCTTTACTTTCCTTCTTTTTTGCAAGTAATGATTTTTTCTTGTGTTTCAAATGATGTAGCAACTTTTACCTGGATAAAGCTGTTAAACAAAAATTCTATTTATCATAATTAACACCTTTAAATGTAATGTGGAAATCTAAGTTACTTTATTCACTGATGTCATTATGTAAAAAAAAAAATATGGATTTAGTTTGATTTTTGGAAGTATGTGTGTGTGTACCTTTTCTAAGTCTGTTCATTTTATCTCATTTTTAGAACAGTAGGATATAGATGCAGTTTTTAAAGGGCTTCTTCAAACACTTTGAGTACAGAGTCTTTAAATTACATTGTTATATTATTCAGATGCTCCTTTACTAACTGATGTCTCAGTGCTGCTATGAGCTGATCTGTACCTCTTGCCTGTCACAAAGACAGTTCACGCAGAGTGCAGAGTAAACATTAGGACAGTGAAACTTGTGAAGGGTCTGGAGCACAAGTCATATAAGGAGGGGCTGAGAGAGCAGGGGTTGTTTAGCCCTGGAGAAGACAAGGGTCAGGAGGAGGCCTTTCAGATAATTTCTGGCTGCCCAGGATGGTGCTGGAGTCACCATCCCTGTAGGTGTTCAAGAAGTGACTGGACATGGCACTTAGTGCTATGGTCTAGTTGACAATGTAGTGATCAGTCAGAGGTCGGACTAAATGATCTTGGAGGTCTTTTCCAGCCGAAATGATTCTATTCTCTTGTCAGGTGCACATATTCCCTAAGTTAATACCTAGTCAATTCAGATACCTGTTTTAAAGTACCTACTTGTAAATTACTTTCTTATAGATATTTAGAGGTAAAGGAATATTTGTACGTTTTTTGAAATATAAACCTAGCTATTATTATATTGTTAAAGTGATGAGGATCTTCAATACTCTGGATTAGTTTTTAACTCGTTTCACTCCTCTGAAAAAGGTCTTTGCTTTTTTTTTCAGCACAATGTGGTGGTGGCATGTCAGACTTCAGTGGAGTGATCCTCAGCCCTGGGTTTCCTGGCAACTATCCTAGTAGTTTGGATTGCACATGGACAATAAAGCTGCCTATTGGGTTTGGTATGTGTTCCTTCATAGATTAAAATTGGCCAGGCTTTTTTATGAGTTCAAAACACTGAACATAGATTTGAAAATATTATTAATCTTTATCCTATCAAAAACCAAAATTAATTATAATTCATTTAAAGAAGTTATCAAAGCCCTGAAAGAAAGATATAGAATAGAAAAGCTACAAGGTTCTTGGTTTTTTTCATTTAACATGTGCCATAATTTTCTGATAAAGACAAAATTGTTTATTAGAATTAAGCACAATTTTCTAACTTAAAAGGATTGATTTCTTTTTGGGAAGTCATAAACCCAACAGAAATAAATAGCTATCATGAATATTTCAAAGCAAGCCAGTATCACTTTAGAAGTTAAAGCTACATTTGAATTAATTATCATTTGCATATCCTAGGTGAATATCACAGCAGTACAAAAATGTTCCTTGAAAGGAACTCCAGAAGCCTCCCACTCAAGGTTGTCAAGCTTCCCACTCAGAGTAAAATTGTTGGTAACACTTAATCAAGGCCACTACAACGGGCAGAACCTTCTAATTGGGGCTGCTACTCACCTACTCAATTCCCAACCTGTGATTACATGTAAGAATGTTGTGCTCCAGATGTAGAACCTTGCACCTTTCCTTGTGCATACCTTTAAGAAGGGTTTGTTTACTCCATTCTGAAGTTTTTCAGTGTTCATTGAACAGAAATTGTGCCATTTAGTACATCATCCATGCCCCCTAGTTTAGTATCCTCCACATATTTGTTGAGAATGCATTCTCATTTTCTAGGTCTCTCCTGAAGACATAGAACAGTGTAATTTCCCATAGATATCTGTGGAATATTGTGTTTGTTACTGGTTGCCAACTACTGAATGGCTAATTGTCACCCTTGGAGCCTCAAAGTTATGTTAATATTTAACATACTTCCTTTCCATTCATCAAATTCATGTTTGTTGAGCTTCCAGATGAGAATGCTATAGACTGAGTCAAAACCCATAGCAGAGTGAAAGTATATTATATCCACCACTCTGCCTTCGTCAGTTTAATAATAGAAGGAAATAATGGTTGATTGACTGTTATTTTCTTTTAGCAAATCCATGTTGACTGCTCCTGAGTCCCTTTCTTGTCTTTTATGTGTTTGGAAATTGTCTCCAATTAAACAAGTTCCATAATCTTCCCAAGGACTGCAGTGAACCTCTAGTTGCCCTTGCCTAGGTCCTCCTTCTTGTCTTAAAGGTGGATATATTTTCAGGCTTTTTTGAGTCACCAGAACTTCTCCTATTCACTATGATTTTGTAAGGGAATTATTAGCATTTTAATTACACTACCTAAACCCTTGAGCAACTTTGAGTGGATCTTGTCTATATTTTATTGTGAAATCTTTATTCAAAGCTAGCCAGTACAGTTGTCCTATCTAATTTTTTACACTTGTGGAACTTTTTTAGGAGTATGTGCACTTGGATTTTTTTCTTTATATGCTAGTTGAATGGCATGCTAGTTTTTTTAGACGTGTCTCACTGTCTTCTATTTTATACTTACCCTCTTCTGTCATATTCATTTCTGGGTCTTCCAGAGTAAGTGAGTGTGACATCCCAAACAGTGTTCCTTCTGCATGTGTTCAAATTTTTTCCCTCCTCTTTTTAAAATCAATTTTGTGATATTTTTTATTAGAAATCTTATGAGCTTTGTTCACTTATTATTTAAATGAAAGCCAATTGTTCTGCATGGGTTCCCACAGAATCTATCTGTGGGAAATAAATTATATTAGAACATAAAATTATTAGAATTAGAATATTAGAACCCAATCTGTATGTTTGCATTTTGTTCAAAAGACCAGTCAATAATTGATATTTTTTTTGTATTATCATTTTATAGAAATAACATTGACACTTTAACTCTGCCACTACCTGAATTTCTAGACAGCCTGGTGGGACAGTTTCTAGTGTTTCATCATGAGTCACAATGCTGTCTAGAATCTTCAGATTCCAAGCAGATTCCTGCTCATTGAGTTATCACAAAAAACAAAAACAAAAACAAAACAAAAAAAAAACAACCAACCAACCAAACAAAAAAAATTAGTAGATACATCCTCCCTGGGTCAAATCTTCAGGAGAAAAGAATATTCAGAGCTATTAGGGAACAGGATACTTTGTCAGATGGTTCCAAAGACAATTTCTAATAAAGAAAAAAATAATAAAAATCTGGAATATTGATAAATTTCACATTTCATAAAATGGTGTGTTCGACTGCATTTAGAACCTGCTGTCTTTTTATCTTTTTATGTTGCTTTCTGCCTCTTGGCTCACTTTGCTGCTGTCCTATCTCTTTTCCAAAACTGACTCCTTACTACAATTCATTTTTTTGCTTACATTCTCCCAGGCATATATTTCCAATAATTCTAATTTGAGTCTTCAGACTTCTATTTAAACTTTTTATTATTAACATACTATTTAGTTTGACTTCCATTAGGCAGGAAATTCAACTATTCAAGTTTTGGAAACAGTTTCTTTGATAAATAAGTTTAGCTTCACCAAAATCAATAGTTCTGAACTGCTTTGTCCTAACTGAAGTTTGTTCACTGGATTTATCAACTGTTTTCCAGTTCATGTATAGGAAAATAAAATGCTCCTTTTTCTAGGAGAAAATTAAAACTGCACAGATTGAACAAGTGCTTGACATTTTTTACTTTTTCTAAATGGGATGTGATTAAAACAGGATTGAAAATTAAAGTTTCATTTAAAAAAGAAAAAATGTGACATTTGAAGAAGTGATGGCTAAAACTGGTTTTAGTGATGCTGTGATTCCAGTCCAGTGGAGGCACTTAAACCCAACTCTTCTGAGTAGTAAATAGAAAAATGCAAAAACACCATCATGGGAAGCTTCTATAGACTTTCACTTGTTTAACTGTTTCTAAGAATATTTTTTCTCAGTTATTAATTAAGATCATAAGCTTTTTCCACTGTATGTCAGCTAATAGTGTAATCTAAACCGTGTTGATGTACATATACAAATATATTTGTATATCACCATGGCTGGGCTTCACAAACGAAGATTTGGGAAGGCTCTATCCACATTTGTTACAGGCACGTTGGTGACTTATGAGGCCAATACGAGACAGACATATCCGATTGCAAAAGGCACAGCAGAAAGACTCCTTAGATGGTGCATTCTGCAAGACACGGTTCTTTCTGCGTTACCTTTTCTCCTCAAGAGTGATCCTGCGTGTGTTCTCAAAGGAGACAGCAGCGTTATAGATGGTGTGTCTCCAGACCTCCCGATTTGAGGCCAGAGTAGACCAGTTATGGTGATCAATATGGCCAAGGCTGAGATGTTGTTTCAGGGTGTCCTTGTATCTTTTCTTCGGGGCTCCTCTCTTGCAGCAGCCAGTGGCAAGTTCACTATAGAGCAAGATCTTAGGGAGGCGGTGGTCCTTCATCCTGGAGACGTGCCCTGCCCAACGCAGCTGTGTTCTCATCAACATGGCTTCTATACTTGTGACTGCTGCTTGCTCTAGAACAGATGTATTGGTCACATAATCTGACCAGTGGATGTTTAAGATTGTTCGGAGGTAGCGTTGATGGAAGTGTTCTAGGAGACGCAGGTGGTGGCAGTAGATGACCCATGATTCGGAACCATATAAGAGAGTAGACAGCACTATGGCTCTGTAAACACTGATCTTTTTACTTTTCTTCAAGTGTTTATTACGCCATACTCTTTTGTGGAGTTTTCCAAAAGCACTATATGCCTTTGCTAACCTGTTGTCTATCTCTCCGTCAATCTTACCATCTGAGGAGATGAGGCTGCCTAGGTAGTTAAACTGTTGGACTGATTTGAGTTCTGATTGGCCAATGGTGATGTGGGGATGATGGGGGACTTCCTGAGGTGCAGGTTGATGGAGAACCTCTGTCTTCTTTAAGCTGACTTCCAGCCCAAAGAGCTCAGCAGCATCTGCAAAGCAGGATGTTAAACGCTACAGAGCTGCTTCTGTGTGGGCAACAAGGGCGGCGTCATCAGCATAAAGCAGCTCCCGGACAAGATGGTTTAAGGTCTTGGTGTGGGCCTTCAGACGCCTTAGATTGAATAGGCTTCCATTGGTACGATATCGAATGTAGATACCGTCCTGATCATTGAGATCTGCCATGGTCCTTTGGAGCATCATGCTAAAGAAGATGGTGAATAGGGTAGGAGCGAGAATGCAGCCTTGTTTCACACCATTCTTAATTAAAAAGGGCTCAGAAAGTGTGTTGCCATATCTGACGGCTCTGCTGATCCTCATGGAGTGAGATGATCATTTTAAGGAACTTGGGGGGACAACCTAAACGTTCCAAAATCTGCCAAAGACCTTTTCTGCTCACAGTATCAAAAGCCTTGGTGAGGTCGACAAAGGTTACATAAAGACCTTTGTTCTGTTCCCTACACTTCTCTTGCAGTTGTCTGAGAACAAATACCATGTCTGTGGTGCTTCTGTTGGCTCTGAAACCACACTGACTTTCAGGAAGGATTCCTTCTGCTACAGTGGGTATTAGTCTGTTCAAGAGTATTCTTGCCAGGATTTTGCCAGCAATGGAGAGCAGAGTAATGCCACGGTAGTTTGAGCAGTCAGATTTAATTCCTTTCTTCTTATACAAAGTGATGATGAGTCACCATCACAGAGGTCAGATGGTAGTTCGCCAAGTTCCCAACAGCGCACCACAAACTCGTGAAATTTGGTGTGGAGTGCAAGGCCCCCATGTTTCCAGACTTCGGGTGGAATTCCATCAATCCCAGCTGCCTTGCCGATTTTCACCTGATGTATGGCCTTGAGGGTTTCTCCTAAAGTGGGGGCAGTATCTAATTCATACTTTACTGGTTGTTGTGTGATGGACTGAATTACTGAGTCTTGGACTGTGCGGTTGGTACTGAATAGAGTCTGAAAGTGTTCAGACCATCGATTCAGAATGGAGGTTTTATCTGTTAGAAGCGTTTGCCCATCAGCGCTGGGTAGAGGGCTTTGTACCTGGTATGTAGGTCGGTAAGCTGTTTTCAAGGCCTCATAGAAACCTTTGTGATCACCTGTATCTGCGCATAATTGAGTTTTTTCAGCTAGATCGATCCACCACTTGTTCTGGATGTCACGGAGTTTCTGTTGGAATATTTATATATACAAATATTTTAAATGCTCTTTCAAAAGGGGTGCCCAAACTGCAAAAAAGTCAGAGAAAAAATCAGTCCAACAAGCAGAAGTCTCGGACAAATAGAGACAGGTGCTACAGGCTGAGGAAAGGATGAATACTTGGGAATACTGCTACGGTTCAGGAACTTGTAGAGAAAGATAGTAGAGTAGAGAGAGCAGAATGATGGGCAAAAATATATTAGACATGGTCTTGTATCAAAGAAAGTGGGTGAAAGAGGAAAAAAACCTGACAGCAAGATCACAAGAGTCAGCAGTTATTAATGGCAGCTTAAACTTTGGACAAGCGTTTGGTTCACAGGATCAAATGAAAAGCCAAGCCTACAAATATCACAGAAAAAGAGAAAAGCTTGGATGTAAGTTGATTTGGAAGGCTGGCAAGGTCAAAGAATGACACTTATAAGAAAAAGTTTTCTTATCACATATAGGCTGTCTTCTGATAAAGAAAGACAGAAATTATCAGGTTAGTAGTAATTTATTGGCCATCTATCTTTTTTTTCTGGTAGCATATAAAATATTCCATGCTTCATAAAACCATTCACAAACTTTACATGGTATCTAGGGAGAAAACTCTAAAAGACAGTGACAAACACTATTTAGCTATTACAGTCTAGGAGTTACAAAATTATTCATTACTTTTTCATAATTTATCTGATATTATATCTTTTCCTGTCAATTTTATATGAAATCATGTTGCTTGTCTTTGCCAGAAACACCAGTGGAGCTCAATCATCTTTCTAATGAAACTACTCCATTATCATTCTGTATTTGCACTAGTTCCTGACAAAATACAAATTCTACTTTGTTGTAATTATATAGAAATTTTTATAAACAGGAAAATGTTTAAAAGCCCTATAACTACTCAGCTGCTGAACATTTTCTTCTCCTCCTGCCACATAATCATTGTAATACTCCACCTGGTTAGGAGAGATAACATGCTAATGGATAGTAAGCTGCCTCCCTGTTCCTTACTAAACCAAATAATCAGAAATTTCTGTCGCTAAGACCATCATATGCCACAGTGTGTGTATGAGAATTAAATAATTGAACTCCATGTTTAATGGGAGAGGGACTGATGAATGATGGTTAGATAACATGATTTACATTTTTTTAGTGACTTAGAAAGAAGTGTTATAAGTGCAGCCACCTCCTGCAGCCACTCCAGCTGAGGATCCTCCTGCCTCTGGATCTCAGTCTGGTGCCCAGAGACACAAAGTCTCTGCTCAAGATGAGTGGCAGCCATATGCCACTTTACCATTTGCGGATTCAAATAGTAACAAAGCTGAACACTGACACATAAACACAGAGGACACTGATGTGGCTGGTAACACACACTGACACTGAGAAGGGTACTGCCTTCAACAGCACTTACTTACAGGGCTTACTTAAAACACAAACACAGGCAGCCAAGTCCCCTCCTCCTCATGGGCTGGCAGAGACAGAAGGTCACTAAAGACACACACACAATGTTCTCTAGGTTGACAAGCACACATACATTGTGGATGCCTTGAGCATCTGCTTGCAACCCCCTCTGGATCTCAGGCTCCCTTACCTGCTTCATGGGTCTCCTACTTGCCAGCCAGTCCAGTTTGATGCTCACTGCAAATGTGCAGCACTCACACTCATGTACTCCACTTCTTCAAGTCCTGAGTGTACCAGCATGGACTCTTCCTGAGCTGGACCCAAGGCCTTCCTACTCACTGTCTAGTCCAATTGAAAGTTTGCGAGCAGGTGACACTTGTCCATCCCTACACTCACTGGGACTGGGGAAGATATAGACACCCCTCAGCAGCCAGCACCAGGCGCTAGGCTGTGACCCACAGCCTCGCAGCTCTATTACAGCCACCAACACTGAGCTCTTCATCACCCCACTACTAGTCCTCCCAGTAGTTGGTTTCAAGAACACACTGTTCGCACCCCAGTGACTGAAAGTTTCTTGTAAACACTTCAGGCCAGAGGCTCCCTGCTTTGACTTCAGAAGTTGGCACCCAGTCCACTCACACTGGTGCTTCTATTAGCTGACAATCTAGGAACAAGGTCTGTAGGACTATCCCTAGATCCAGAGAGCTATGACCTCTTACTCCCTCAAGTAGTTGGCACCACTGGCTGGAGGCACCCACACCACTCCAGTAACAGGCACCAAGTTCTGCTCACAGATTCAGGTCTCACCAGTAGCTGGCACTTAATCCTTGCAAACACATAAACGCAGGATTAAGAGTGAGATTACACAGATAGATAGCTAAGAAAAGATTTAATAAGAAGATATGAGATGATAGGAGAGACCAGGTGCTCAACCAAACAAACATACTGACTGGCCTCATTTTACGTGTAACACATTCCTTTTATTCTCTGTTCTCATCACTGCCTCACTTACTGTTTGTCCTTCGGGTTCGTGTCTTGGTATGCTCTTGTTCATGGCTTCCTCCTTTTCTTATTTTTTGTTGCTCCATTGAAAAAGGTCAGTGACCAGATAACCTTGAAGGAGCAGATACTTTGCTTCCACATACTTTTACAATACATATAATCCATATAAAATGAATTTATTTTTTTACTGTGCCTCATTATTTCATGTATATAAATGTTTTTTAAAAAATAAATATAATCTGAGAGAGATCAGTTTATGTACAACTACAGTGGAGCTATCTCTGAGATACAAGTCTGTCTCTTTTTTTTTCAGGTGTATACACACAAAGCATTTTTTTATTTAATAGAAAAGGAGATTATGCAATTGAAAACAGGAAAGATTTAGCTAAATGGAATGTATTCAGAATTCAGAACTTAAATTTGACCTAAATTCTATGATTCTGTGATTCTAAATACACAAAGAACAATGTTTTCCAAAAAGTAATATATATGTAACCTACAGTTTGATGCCTTGGATTATGTCAGTATTTCAGTACATTAGCATTTTTTACCTTGTCAGCCTCTCAGAATTAGTAATGTGTATGGAAAAACAATGCTTCAAACTGAATTCCATGGTTTGTATCCAGTGGTGTAACACATGCATTTCCAACTGATTATTTTCTGTGATTATCAGTGTAAGATGTACATACTTTATTTTCTTTTCTGGTATCAATACTGGTGGCTTTTATTTACTTACAATATTTTTCAGGTGTCCATTTGCAATTTTTGAATTTCTCAACGGAGACCATACATGACTACTTAGAAGTTAGGAGTGGATCTACAGAAACTAGCACGGTTATTGGGAGACTAAGTGGCCCTCAGCTCCCAGCCTCTCTGTTCAGCACAACTCATGAAACCAGCTTATACTTTCACAGTGATTACTCACAGAATAAACAAGGATTTCATATTGTATATCAAGGTGAGATTTGGATATTCTTGTGAGAACAATATGGCTGCTGAAGGTTTTATGGGCTTTTGGGGATTTTGTGTATTGTGTTCTGGAAGGATATGATCTAAATACTGTTTTAGAGTACTGGATTGATGTACACTAGTGAAAATTAATACCAACCCAGAAATCTCCAAATCCATTTCCTAGTTCGCAATTTCCCTGAAAAGTTCTTGTTCTGTTGCACCCAAGTAGGTCATGCTGAGCTCATGAAGACTGCAAGATCATAATTCTATTTATAGAGTTGCATATTCATGTAAAAGGGATTAGATCACCACTGTTCACAGAAAAAGGTCAAATGTATATTTTAAACTAGACCTGCTCTCATTACTTGAATAACACCAAAGAAGGATTTAAAGAGTTTTTACGTTAGAGCAGTCTCCTATTACTGTTTTAATAGTAACAAGTCCAAATTGACTTGAACTCTGTAACATTCTGGAAGTGAACCACTGTAAAAAGTATTAGCTTTTACAGATAAAGTCAACTTATGACTTAAACTGCTAAGAAGGCCAGACTTAAGAGCTTAGACTATTAGTGCTATTAATAGTAATCATTTTGGAGATGCTGTTATTTGTCACAGAATGAAAAGTTCCTGTCTATGTTTTAATCACATAAGAGAACTGCTTCTTTCAAACATATACAACCTCTGATATTCTGATACTGCAGACTGTGCACTGCTTATTTCTTCTCAGTTCTCTAATAAGACAGCAATGCTTCAAATGCTCAGTTTGGTATCTTCAAATGACAAAAAGAAATGTTATTTAGTAGCACAGAATCCTAGCTAGTTTCACTGTACCTACTCCAGGTGTAGGATCAATGATTTGATCGTCACTTTCATGGAACTTTAGACATATGGGATGCCCATGATTATTAAGTTTATTCTAATTAAAAACTTTTATTTTTGAAGTAATTAGAATTTGTGTCTTACTTATTTTTCCCCCCATTTTTATTACTTATTTCAGCATATCAGCTGCAAAGCTGTCCTGATCCTCGACCATTTCGGAATGGTTTTGTTATTGGAAATGACTTCACAGTGGGACAGACTATTTCATTTGAGTGTTTTCCTGGCTACACATTAATTGGAAATTCAGCTCTGACTTGTCTTCATGGAATCAGCCGCAATTGGAATCATCCTCTCCCCAGATGTGAAGGTATGTTCCAGGTGACCTACGAACTCTTCATTATTTGAAAGTCTTCCTAAGGACTGTTAACTGAAGTAGTTTTCAGCTTTTCAATTTATAGGAACCTGTATTTTTACATTGTGGTCTTTGCACAGGAAGTATTCAGTTTTGCACATTAAAATTTTAGCAGAGAAGCTGAAATGTTTTCATGGAAATATGAAATCTCTGAAAACTTATCTGAGGTAATAAGTTTACATTTGGAAGGTTAGGCTTAAAGTCTGGAATGTGGAGACCCATGCTGCTTTTAATCTAGGTGATGCAACACAGTGAAAGGTCTGGACTGAATCAGGAAAAAAAAGAATTCAAAAATTGAATTTACCAATTCTGTCCACTTATGTTCTCTCTTATCAGTTAGAAAGAAATGTTAGGTGGCATAAAGTGCAATTGTCCTCCAGTCAATGCTGTGTGAATTCCTTGTAAATATATTTTTTCTGAATGGGATTTTATTTTAAATTATATTTTTTAACCTTTCAGATTTTCTTTTCATTATTATACTTGCAACAGGTAAGCAGATTCAATGAACTATGACTTGCACATAGCTTACGTTTTAAGGAGACAGTATTAATGTATATGATGATTCTGTAGAAGTGCTTATCTTATCCCTAGCTATGCTGAAAGGAATCTGTACCTAAGCAACAGGCCAAGGAAGGCCAGTCATGTTGTGTTGCCAGACTCTGAAAAAGAAAAGAAAGGATGGGTGTTTTGATAATACAGAAATGTCTTTGAGAAATAGATGTGCACCACAAAAACTATTTGTTGAACTGAGGACTGGATTTTCTTCCATACGAAATAATTACTTTCCTGTGGAAGGTCCAACTTTGTCACAATTGTGGCAACATTTAGACACCAACATTAGATTCCTGAAAAAAAAACAACAACCATAGACACAGCAAAGATACTTCATATTTAAAATTGTCATCCCAAAATCCTACGTTCCTGGGACTGCAAGTTCCAAACATCTTTAACAATTAAGTTATTGACTGTAAAGTTCTCTGTATGCCTAAGCAAAGATGAAATCTGTACAAGATGTTGAGTGCCCACTTTCATATGCCATAAGACCCTTCACAGTTTCAGGAGAGATATTCAAGATCCCAGTTAAAGGCCTAATTTCTCTATATATTGAATGGTAAAAGCTCAGCATTAAGAATGGGATTGAGCGTGTAGAAGAGAAAAGCGTCAAAAACCCACAACAACAACAACAACCTCCCCCCTAAAAAACCAAAACAAAAAACCCCCCCTCCAAAAAAAAGCCACCAAAAACCAAACCAAACCAAATCAAACCACCCTAGCAGAAAATAAAAAGCTCCCCTATTTTCTGGATTTTTGAATTGTATTCTGAACTGTCTTCCCAAATTTAGGTACTTAAATGAAAAGCCTCATTACTCCAAATTCCTTCTGGAGTCAGTGAGCCACAGGAAATTCTGGGGGAAGTGGTAGCTAAATTAAGACCTAACCGATACTGAATTCAGAAAGGGAAGCCTCATCATATAGAAGAGAGATGACACCTACACTGTCTGGTTTTTGAAAGGGAAAGAAGTTAATTAATTTCAATTAAGTTTTAACACCCGTTTTCTGGATCCTATGGGAATAATAATAGTTCATGTCTTAACTGCTAAACACTTAGCTTTTCCCTATTACTTAGTTCTAACTGTATTTTCTGTGCCTCAGAATCAAAACAAATAATTTACTGAATAGAGTGATTCTGCTTCTTTGAACTACCTTAGTGGACCCAGGAATTTAATTAGTAAATTTGAAGATGTCCAAAGCACGTTGCTGTTCTGAGTATCAATTTTGATGAAATTCCTGAACAGTGGCTGGATGCTCTTGGTTTCTACCTAATGCCATATGAAAGGATGAAGATAAAAAAATCAACCAAATTAATAATAGAGATCTAAAATGTGTGTTATGCTGCATGATTACAGACTGTCAACATTACTCAGCTCCTAGAAAAATTTCTTACATTACATGGGGTTTTGTGCAGTTATTTACTGTGGTATTTTTAGTAAAGAGTTTGTAACAATCTGAATCAAATGTTACTAAACTTGCTTTCTGTTTAAACAATTTTCTTCTCTTTTTGCATCCTCATGCACCTAATATTTCTTTAACCTGTACTCAGCATCATCTAGTACTCTCTGACCCTTCTTAACTCATCTCCCTTGCTTTCATCTGTTTGGATTCTGTTCCTCTCCTTTTCCAAGAAATCTCTTTGCCTGACAGTCATCAGACCATTTCTTCACTCCCCTAAGACCCAGCTGCAAAATCAATTCTGTCTGCACTGCTCAAACCCCTTTGAGACTTTGAAGCTAAAAGCTGAAGAAAAGCAGTATGCCAGCTGTTCAGTCTGAACAGATGAGGTGTGACTATGAAAGTCTCCTTAACCTACAATTCAGCACCAAAGTGTATATATGTATAAACCCTAACACATGCTTTAGCTAAATACAATGCCTATAATTCCTATATGTAAAACTTGTATTTCCAACAACCTGTTCTCTGGTTAGAGATTTTTAAACATATTTTATGGAATCTGGGTTGCCATGCCATGTGCATTTTGGAGTAGAGTGGGCAAAATAAATGTATGCAAAATAAAGCAAATGATACAGTTTTAACCTTGCTCACTTTTCCGGAACTAGGCTTCTATAACATAATTTCTCTTCTGTAATAACAGGGTGGTGTCATACTCAACGTCATCTGAAACCTCTGAGGAGAAAATCATGTAACTGGACTAAGGGTTTTCCAGAAGTGAAAATCCAGAATCTGTATGGTGATTCTTGCACTATATGGCATCTAAAATTAGTACAGTTCAATGCGAATTACAGAGAGAACTCTTACTTTATCTATCAGAATTTGTTTCCATAAGTGCAAAATTGCTATTCATACTGCTGGACAATGTTTTTATTTTCAAATTCCCCTGTAATTTTCACCCACCCATCAACTAAGCATATCCCTTCTCTCATGTGTTACTTTTGGTTGTCTATCTGACAATAAATGAAAGCAATTAATGGTATTCCCAACTAATTTGTAGCTAGCATTTATACAAAGCCCTAACAAAATCATTTTCAGTTGCGCAGGAAATTTTACCCAATATCTAAATTTGGCTTTAGTTCCAGTTCTGATAGTATTTATAACATCAGAATTATTTTATTTTTTTTTTGCTTTTTTATTTGACCAGTAATGTCAAAATGGACTTCTGACTCTTGGCACAAAGCTCAATAACATCTGTTTCTTTACACAGCAATGGTCATATGCAATGTAGTTACAGTGTACCAAATGTGTTTAACAGTATAGTTTTTACATAGTCTAATAACTCAAAAAGAATTTAATGTTTTGGGTTTTTTTTTAAATTGTCTGTTTTATAGCTCTCTGTGGAGGAAATATAACTGCAATGAATGGCACCATATACTCTCCTGGATACCCTGATGAGTATCCAAACTTTCAAGATTGCTTCTGGCTTGTAAGAGTACCACCTGGGAATGGAATCTACATCAATTTCACAGTTCTTCAAACCGAGCCAATATATGATTTCATAACTGTCTGGTAAGGAAACAATGTTGGCATTTATTTAATCTTCGTGTGACACTATACAACAAAGCATGAATTTAAAAGAGTATATTTGTGGTTTTACCCTTGAAACTGGTGTTCTCTGTAGGCCAAATGAGTGAGTTGTACCAATCCATGTTTTCCAATGGACCATTCTCTCTAGATAGCACTGGACAAGAATTCAAAATCAATAATAGTGTTCCTCAGTTTGTCGATAAGAGCATACAGAGACGTGCTATGACAGCTCATCAACAACCAAGAGAAGTAATGCTTAAGGAGTGATAATAAGAGTTTACAGATATGTGTGTTAGTGGTTTAGGGTGTTAGTACTAGAAAATATGGCAACACTTTCTTAATTTCTTCCAAGTTGGCTCTTTTTACTTTTAAGAGTACATAAAAGGAGAGACTCTATTTGTATCTAGCCATGACAAAAGGAGTTGAGCCAACAATAGCCGTAAACAAATTATATTCTCTATGTACCTGAATCCATGTCTATCATGGCTCTGCACGATAACCTATCACCCTCATCAGCAGCCTATGACATTAATCCCTCCCCCATGTATCTCAAGACATTTCATGGCTTTAGGCCTCATTTCTATACATGTGCAAAAATTGTATTATATACATGATGGCTACAGAATTATATAGTTTAAGCCACTTCTGGGATTATAATTATTTACAGAATTGATCAAACTTTTTACAGAAGTTTCCAATGGAAAAAAATGCATTTTATTCCCAATTCAAATGTTTCAAAGCATATAATTTCTCTGATAAAACAGAAGGGGAAGAGTCAATGTGTCAGATTTGGACAAACATACTACTACAAAATTTTCAAAATAAAAAATATCCATATTTTATTATATATTGTATTTTTCAGTTAAATATAATATATTTTCAGTTAAAATAACAGTTGAAAAAATTAACTTTAAACTTCTATTATTTAATGTTTGTCAATTCTGATCTGAAAGGAAGCAAATATGAACTTTTAATGCCCTTGTACTCCGATTCTGTCCTCTGTACGGTTCTGCTATTGTTTAGTACTAACTTTGATTTAATTTTTCTACTGAAATTAGAAATTTCTACTGAAACTCATTTTTCCATAACATAGCAATGATCTTACCAGCAGTACATGTTTTGTCTAAATCTCAATAAATAATGCAAAATAATATCAGTAAATGCATGTGAAGAAGATTTTACGTATTAGGTTTATTTATTTTCTGATAGCCACATTTGAAAGTATAAATACACAAATGTAATCAGAGGTTGTGGCAAGAAGATGAAGAACAATTACAAATTCAATAATTTTGAATTTGCTTCTATTTTTATTTGAAAATAATAAAATTGCTTTCAAAAGGTGGTTGAACTAAGATCCAGTCTACACAGGATTTGAAAAGGCTTTCAGCCCTTCACATCTATTTTATCTTATTTTAATTGTCTTGTGCCTTTTAGAGTAATCTAGAGCAAAATTACTGCAATCATTTAAAAATTAGAGAAATTGTATTATTTGGTTGGGAAAAAAAAATATTCCTGTGTTTGTTTTTTCTTAGGGATGGACCAGATCAAACTTCTCCTCAAATTGGGCAGTTTAGTGGCAACACTGCCTTAGAATCAGTCTATAGCACTTCCAATCAGATTCTGATCAAGTTTCACAGTGACTTTACTACCAGTGGCTTCTTTGTACTCAGTTATCATGGTAAGTGTGACAAATTTCTCTATTTCATTATCTGCACTGGTCACTGCAGGCAGACAACTCATGAGAAAATTAATTACTTTTCCTTAGAAGAGTTGCTATTATTAGTATGACTGACCTGCACTAGGGTAATGCAAACATATGAAGGAATAATATGAATGATGAAAATAAGCTATTTTCTTGACCAAATATTAAATTTTCTAGTAGTCAAGCAAAACAACAACAAAAAAGAATTCACTGTGATGAGACAGGAGCAAAGAATGTAGCATCAAGACCCTAAAGCTCAAGGTGCACGTCTTCTTACTGCTTACAATGCTTCTAAACTTCCTTTGAAATCTGAATGTTTTTGGAGGACGTTAAATTTTTCTTAGATATTGGGATATTTTGAAGAAAGTACTTTTTTTGTATAGATGCCAATGATAGTGAACTATACTGTGTAGTTAACATTAATCTACCCTGGAATTAACTACTGACTGAATGAAAATGGGTAAAAATAAATGCACCAAATTCTACCTCTTCTCATAATCATTCAAACCCTCTGTGGCCAAGTGTGTTTTGCATTCCTATAATTACAAGGAAACAGATCCATAAGTAAGGGTGCTTTTAGGTGCTCCATGAATGCCTATTGGAATGACTATTCTAGAAAACATTGACAATCTGTTTTCTGGATCCTGATCAAATGTTGGGACTAGAAGACTTGCTTTTTGGCTTAGTAGAGACCGTGGTTAACATAGATAGACAGAACTGAGGAGCAGAGGAACCATAATTAAAAAAAACAAAGCAAAACAAAAATTACCTAAAGCTCACAATGAAAAAAAACCACCATCAACAGCACTTGAATTGATTGCAGGATATAGACTCCAGCAGGGCTAGGTAGAGAGGGCTAAAAATTTCTATTCCAAATCTTGGCATCTAAGTTGCACATATCAGCTTGTGAAGGACAAAAATGACACTTCGTATTCATTAATATATAAATTGATATTTATTGAGATCTACTAATATATCTGTATTTGACCAAAAATATGTAAAAATGCTCATGGAACCATAGAATCGTTCAGGTTGAAAAAGAGCTTTAAGATCATTGAGTCCAACTGTAGACCCAACACTGCTAAGTCCACTACTAAACCAGGTCCACAAGTGCCAAATCTACACTTCTTGTAATTACCTTCAGAGACTGTGACTTCACCACTTCCCTGGGCAGCCTGTTCCAATGCTTCGCAACCCCTTTGATCAATAAATTTTTCATAATATCCAATATAAGCCTCACGTGGAGCAACTCGAGGCTGTTTCTTCCTGTCTAATCACTTGCTAGTAGTAAAGTGTCTCTAAGGATCTTATCTTCTTTCACCTGTTTCTTTTGCTGTGCAAATTATCATTCCACAGATGTGGGCCCTAATGCGTAGTAAAGATGCAAACTGAGCAGCACAAGGATTACTCATGAAGAAACTTAAAACAACCTTTGGATTGATGTTGTCAAGATAATAAAAATCTCTCAGTATCTTGGAGGCTCTGATCCTTCATATCAGCTATACAAAATTTATAGCAGTAAAGGAAACATGAGAGGAGTCAAATCTATTTAAAATAGATAATTCGGGGATTAAAATTAATGGTACTCCTGATACCCTCAAATGAGAGACATTTGAGATAAATGATACAATTTTTTTTATTGAATCAATTTTTAATGATATTGTGATTCTAATTATTAGTTTTCTTAGGATGCAAATAGCACAGTTGTTTCATGTTTACTTGGTATGTTTTACTTTAAATTGCTTTATCCTAATGTTAGCTTTTTGACTCACTGATTTAAGTAGATCTTCATTATATGATCAACAAAAAGGAGTATAATAGGAAGATATCAAATATGGGTGACTCAAAAGTAAGAAAAGGTCTTACCTGTTACAGTATAAATTTCGTGACTGACAAAAGTTTGGCCAATTAGATTACTACAGGATCTAATCACAGGAAGCAACCAAAAATGTGTATTACTGAAGCTGAACTGCCATCTGCCATAAGTAGATGATGTTTCAGTGCTAAAGGGAAATGCTATAAGAAACAATGCTATATGAAAATGTACTATCAGTGAAAACCAAGCATACTTCATCCTGACTGTACACTTTAAAACAGGGAAGACTATACTGTCGGTATAAATATGTCAATGTGATTTCTTTGGCAGGATTTCTGTCCTAATTGCATTAAGATTAAATGGAATTTTGTCTGTGTCCAGATATGGGCCTATCCTCATACAATCTCTGAAAAAAAATCTGTATAGCTTCTGCATACTCTTCCTACTTATCTTTTTATTTGTTTCACCTAATTATTTTGCCTGGCTGCTGCATCATGTGTTAAATCACAGAAAATTATTTCATGTGAGACTTCAAATGAGAATTTTGAAAGCTGCATTATTCTCTGACCCTATCTGCAGGAGCGGTGTGCTCCACAACTATTCACTTACTGGGAAATTTCACATTCAAAATACTTCTGTCCATTAGTTATTCTGCCTCTGAGTAGAGTGTTTGGGATTCCAAAACTTGTATTTATTACAGAAGAGTCCAACAGTAAAATTGTATTGTAAAAAAAAAAAAGAACCCCAAACAAGCAAAACAATAGTTTCACAATACAAAAATATTTATTTTTTGTGTGAGATCACTTAAGTGAGAAAATTGGTAACCAATTCTAGGTTTCTTAGGTTATTTACGACGGTTTTGCAACTAAAATAAATAACTAATCAAGAACACAGACACAACTTCTGATGTTTTCATTTCCTTTCTTTTGATTCTCCTGAAAGTTTCAAAATACATTAATAGAGTTTTTACTTTTATCCTGTTAATATGGGTATTAAATCAGTTAAGTTTGCATGGCTCTGTTAACTGTGTTTGAGAATGTCAGCTGTGCTTTGTTCCTGTTTATAGCCTATCAGCTCCGGGTGTGCCAGCCTCCAGCAAATATACCAAATGCAGAAATTCTAACTGAGGATGATGAATTCGAAATAGGTAATATAAGAGAAAATGAAAGCACCATTTGTTTCGAAAATAAACTTGCTGTGCATGGGATGCTTTTCAGGATGAAAATCATGCCTATAATACATTAGATTTTTATTTGAAAATAAGTTTTTTAAGAAGTCATTCCTCTTCCCTATACCTCCCGAATCCCATTCAGAAATGACATATAAGTAATACAGTAACTCTTTGTAATTGACTTCATTTTAAAAAACATTTTTCATACTCTCTAATATAAAACATTGTATTACACTGAAACAAACAAACAAAACCCATAAGAAAACATGTAGAAAATGGTATATTCTTTACCAGAATTAAGGTCATTTGACCTTAAGAGTAAAATCAAATTTGTGAAAATTATGAGGATCAGAGAAGGGGATGACATTCTGACCTTCTGAGACGTGTAATAATATTACTTAGCCACGTACAGTTCAAAGAAATTTGATTTATATGATCAGATGTCTGATCATATAAATTTCTTTCATAATGTCAGATGTCTGAACAGCTAGTTTTGCTCATATGATGGCAAAGAAAATAAATTTGTTTTTAGTCCATATCAATATTTGATTAGTTATAAAAGTAACAAAGAGAAAATATTTTTTCCCCTTTCTTCTCTGTAATCTGGACCAAAGAGAAATAACTTCTGGGATATAAAATTTTCACTTTTATTGGTATATAAAACCATATGAATTATTTATTTCTCAATTAAAAAATGAAAATTTCTTATTCTCACCATGCCAAATTTAGATATCATCAACTAAATCTAGTTCCTATTTAATTTTTTCACCCCTCAGATTGTATGAGTTACTGACTTGATCTAATACCTTTAGTTCCATAATGGTTATCCTATAAATTATATTGCTTAAAGCTCTGTGGACATGTTCACACAGCATCAGTCAAACCTAGACAAATTAGCAAACTATCCAACAAATAATGTGGTGAAAAACAGTGACAAATGCAACACAGTGTGCAACACAAAGCTCATTTACCACGTTTCTTAGACTAATCAAAGTTGTTTATGCCAGAGGTCATTTAGCCCATTTTATGTGGTGGCAGGAAACTTCATTAATCAATAATGTTTTCAAAGCTAAAAGTCTCAGTTAATTGCTGTTTAATGTTTCTTTTGTTTGTTTGTGTTTTGTCTTATTTTGTTTTTCCAAACAGGAGACATAATAAGATACCAGTGTCAACCAGGCTTTACCTTGGTTGGTAATGAGATTCTGACATGCCGACTGGGTGAAAGACTTCAGATGGATGGAGCACCACCTTCTTGTCAAGGTTTTATCTTGTTTTTATTTTCCTGCTGCCAGTCCAGCTGAATGGTGATTCCTCACATACCCTCCTCTATCTCTTTACATAAAATGGCATACTGAAACTATTTCAGATTTTTTATGCTATTCCCAGTATATCGTTGTTGTGCTTCATATATGTCAGATATTAATGCAAGATAATTAGTAATCTTTTAGTGAATTTCATGAGTTTAAAGGACTGCTGCTCTACTTTGTGAAGTATTGAAAACTGCAAATACAGATATAATACTATCTCATTGTTAAAGTCAAAACAAGATTACAGTCCTGCCAACCACTAACATCACAGTTTAAACCAGTCTTTATTAAGCTGAAAGTTGATATGTACCCTCTAATATAATTTTTCCATAATTTTAAAAAAAATATGAGGGTTTTCTTTCATATTGAACTGATGAAGAAGCTAGTGAAGATAAGCCTTGCACATGCTCTATTAAAAGACTGGAATCTCTTTGAAGTTCCAGTGATGGGTATGTGTTTATGTTTTCTTACTAATTTTTCCATTTATTTCCAGAAAGATGAATAAGGACTTTCAGTTATAAACGTGTATGATAAAGTCTTTTCTAGAAAAAAAGACCAAAACAAAACACTATAGCCTCCTAAAAGCATAAGTTATGTAAGCAACAGTCATTTTGGATTCTGCTGGTTGCTGTAATATTCCTTTGTGATCCTTCTACTGTTGAGCTTAATATTCTAACATCTACTCCAGGATTAAAATACTTTCTCAAATCAGTCATAATAAATACATTTGATTTACATTTGTATTATATGAAAAATACTGCTTTCTGTTTTTTCTACCAATCAGATATTTTGGTGTTCCTTCCCCAGTAATTTTAATTCATTAACATGTCTATAAAACACTGATGTTGAAAGATTTATTTGGCAATAGTAAATTAATTGGCAATAAATCTACTACTTTTACAAGTTAAACTTTAATATCTGTTTATTAGAAATTGATGAAGTTTCAAACTGGTGCACAGTATAGATGTTAGGAAATTAAAAATCAGTATATTAATTTTTAGAACTTAATTATTACTATAATCTCCACCTAGGTTTTCAGATGAGAGTTAAAAAATTACTGTCTTATAAATATATCCTTTTCCTGCACTCCCAAGAAAAAAGAAGGGTCTACTATTACAGCTGAATAAACTATTTTCCTCTGATTTTATGCACAAAACTATGCTAAAGTCAAACTCATTCATAGCAGTCTAGCTCTTTTAAGAGTCTAGCTCTTAAAAATGCAAAGTGATCCTGAAATGTGAGCTTCATAAGAACTTTAACACTGATAATTTCTGAAAATTCATACATTTGTTTAGGCACAATTACTTCTATAAATAGCCTCCAACACCCCAATTTAAATTAAAATCCTAACTTGGCAGACTCATAGAATTTAATAGGTGGAAAACCATTAAATAACCTCCAGGCATTGCTTTAGCTGTTAAAATGATGTAATATTAGATAGGGCAAATAGAGACATATGTGCTAATCCTGAGGCATTCTGTCAGCATGTGTTGCTGAAGGCATATTTGTATTCAATGCAAGACCAAAGACTAAACCTCAGGAATGATGACTTCAGTTACCACAGTTAATCTTTTAACTGTCAGATATAAATGCGAAACATTTATATACTGAATATTAAATCAGTTCTTTCATAATTTTTGTTTAAAGCAGAGTGAACTGAATGTAGTTTTTAGGGTTATATCCAGAGAATCAAAAAGAAAAATGCAAAGGAATTTGTTAAATTGTGTTAAAAATGACCAAACTCGACAGGTAGAATAAGCAGCAGCATAATTTTAATTTGTATTTATTTATATAATATCTAAGTTTGAAGATCACAATATATAAGTAAAATTTCAATGATGAATGGAAAAAAATAACTTTTTGGAATCTAGAGGCAGCAAAATTACATGCCTAACATTTCTGTTTTTCGTGATTTTAGTATATCACACTGATCTATGGATAAGCCACCATACTTTAATTGTGCAGGCTATAGCAATCACTCTCTAGATAAAAACACAGTTCTTCTGTTGGTTCTTAAATGATTTACTAATTCTTTTCACCAGGTAGAGCGGAGGTTTGTTGTTAGATTTCATTGTGTTAACTCCTGTTGACTGAACTTTGTACATATGTTGTATGCTTTAGCTGGTGTAAAATGACTTTAGGTTGAATTTTTCTTTAATTTTTAACTTAAAATAATTTGATCAGTTGGATGATCATTTCTTAAAATTTTTGAAGATTTCCTTCTTTAGATGAGAAAATAATCACTAAATTACACAAGCTTATACCAATGGTTATCATTTTATTTTTTTAAAATAGAGTGTTTTCCATATGCAACATGTAACTTTGTCCTTAATTTTGGTTTAAATTATTTTCTACTTTTGGGATAAATAAAAACTTCACAGTAAGAAGATCCAAACTGTATTTTGCATCATAATTAAGGGACCCTGAGAAAATTCTTGAATGATGACTCTTAACTATATCTCAGATACGTTTTCTCTGATTCATAAAATACTTTGCTACTTGACTCCCAAGGGAATCTATTTTACAGAAATAGGTCTTTAAACCATCTATAAAATTCCTGAGGGAAGTTTAGCTGAAGATCCCTAAATTAAGGACAATTTGCAAAGCAGAATAATATGGAGGCAGCAAAACTAGCTGCAAATAAACAAGTGCAGCCAGATTACTATTATGCTCTTTCTGCCACACATTTTTGTTTATATATAATTTATATATATGTACATATATGTACTATAAAGCTGAGTGGATCAGTTCATTCGTTTGCTTGAGCTTTGTGTCACAACTGGCACAGCACTGTAGTTTGACCAATTCCAGCCATATGAGTTTTCTCAGGTGGCATGGAAGTATTTTATTCAATCTCTTCTTGAAAACAAACACAGGACATGAGAAACAACTTCTTAAATTTAGCTATTTGCAAGGGAGAGATTAATATTTTTAAAATATGTTGGCAGATTCCTTTCTCTTTTTCAAGTGCGGGTTGGATGGATTTACAGGGGGTTGTACTAAATGACCTTCAAATGTCCCTTTCAATCTAAACATTCTATGATTCTTATGATTTTTTTTATGGAGACGATTATTCTTTTTCTCACTCATCTCTGCTTTTCTGTGTTCTTTATCTCTCTTCATAGTCCAATAACTTTTCAACATAAAACCTGATTTTTGTATATAATAAGCCAAAATTATTTTCAGTGTTCTTGAGAAACCTAAGATCCTATTATTTTTCTTGCGTAACTTTTAATAACTCAGGACTAACTAATTTTTTTGTAAGAGTTAGTTGTCAATATAAAACCAGATTTCAAAGCTCCTGTTTAGCAGTATTCAGTTCTGAATATACTGTAGGCACTTGTTCCTATATCATGAAGCAAAACCGTTTTTTGAAAAAAGTTCTGATAACATGGTAATATCAACTATTTCTGTTTACTGAGATTTTTATTTTATGTAGACCTAGTGAATCCAGATAATTCAAAATTAAACCCCTGCATCATATTTTTAAACACCATTCTGCTCAATTTATATAAAAATAATGAGTAATTAAGTTCTTTTGGACTCAGAAAAATCTTGACAATCACATGAAACAGAAATAGTGGGCTTTAATTTTTTTGCCAATCTTTGTGTTTCACAGTGCTCTGCCCAGCCAATGAAATGCGTCTGGATTCAACAGGAGTAATATTGAGCCCTGGATATCCTGACAGCTACCCCAATCTCCAGATGTGTGCATGGACCATTACCGTGGAAAAAGGCTATAATATCAGCATGTTCTTTGAATTCTTCCAGACAGAAAAGGAATTTGATATACTTGAGGTGTTTGATGGTAACTATAGGATGCATAACTTTGGATTATACTTTTTCTATATAATTGTATTTTTATATTGCATCTGGGTAATCACTACTGTTTATGTACATCATAACTTTTCAGTATAAAAAATCTTTAAAAAACAATTATTTTGATTCATTGTGCTAAAAGGAATTGTTGGATTACTGTCTTTTGAAATTGTACTGCATAAATTATGTTTAGAAATAAATTTTCTTTTAAGCAAATATATACTGTCTAGCATATAACATGTAATGTCAACTTCTATTTTTAATTCAAGTTAATTTGCTATTTGCTTGGAGGAGGCTTTATACATATATATAGTTATGTGCACATAATTTATGGTATGTTATTTTAAACTTTGTAACTCCTTTTTTCTTTTTTTTTCCCCTTCCTTTGTACCAAGGACCAAATAGTCATAGCCCATTGCTCATATCTCTCAGTGGGGACTATTCATCTTCTCTAAATATAACCAGTAATGGCCATGAAGTATTTCTCCGTTGGTCAGCAGATCATGGCACCAATAAAAAAGGTTTCAGGATAAGATATATAGGTATGTAATTGTGACTCTCTACAGTGTGTATAAAATTTCAATACGGAACATTTATGTATGTAAAAAGGGTAATATAAGCTATGTTTTGTATCTTTAATTAACCAAACTGAAAGGAAATCCAATCTGTTCTGTCTATGAACCTGATGATACTGATCTTGTGAGGAAAAAATACCTCACACATGTGCTCTGTAGAGATTTAAGAAAATGCTTCACAGGGCTTTCAAATGGCATAAACCAGCACTAAAGATGAAAGAAGCTTTCCTCTTCTCTCTCCCAGCATTTATTTGCACTTGTGTACCTTCTGGGGTGTTTTCCAAACTGGATCTTTATGCAGTTCATTATTAACAATTTTGGTGGGACAGAGAAAGACATAGAAACAAAGCAGGAGTGAAGAACTATAAAGAGAAAAAAATATGAAACCCTGGGGGATTGAACTCTTTAATTTAAGGTTCAACAGAAGCAGCAAACAGTATTAGAAGAGGTCAATTATTATGTAAAAAATGCCAGTATTGTATGTGTTATTAATTCAAACTAACATAATGATGAATAGTGTGTGAAAATGGTACTTGACAATGATAGAATTTTGTATAATTGCTTTTACAGAATTATTATATAATAAGAATTTCACTGGAAAATTATATTAGTTAATCGAGCTAAAGTAGACCTGTTGCAATTTGCGGCAATTGCACAAAATCTATATTTGATTTTTTTATGATGACCAAAGATATGAAATATACAGAATGAAAAGTACTAGGGTTAGTATCTGTAGATATTAGAGAAGTTATTGGCATAAAGCAATTTCACTTTACAAAGTGAAGAAAGAAATAGAGAATAAATATAAAATTCTTTCTTCTGGTTTTTTTTGTTTTTCCTCACTCAATTTTTGGCTCCTCAACAACTGCAATTATGAGCCTAAAAATGATTAGGCTCATAATATTCAGTGAAACAACATCAGTGTCATCTTTCCCTTTAGGAGAGGATAGTTTTCTCAGACTTAAAATGTTTGTTGTGAACTAGATAACATTCACTGTTGACTAGACACAAAGTATTATATGGTACCTATTTTCATTTCCTATAGTACCTCTTAGATCTGTTAAAAGAGAAAGAAGAAGAAATTCTTCTCTTTCCCTACAAGTAGTGAGAGAACTATTGAGAGGTAGACAGGAAATATTTAATTGTGATCTGTATCTCTCAGAAAATACCAGTGTATTTTCTTATACACTAGGTATCTCTGATTCTTCCAAGAGTGTAAGGCAGGAGAAATTTAGTGTAAGGAAGAAAATATTTTCATAGTATGTGCTCTGAAAGATATGGCAGTGCTTCTCATTTTGCTCTTTGCTTTAATATGTTTAACATATTTTTGTTGTAAACAAACTTTATTCTGTGTAGAGGAAGCTTTCACCTGAGAAAAACATTGACCTGAAGTAACTCATGGAACATGGAAAGGCTTAAAGAGCAAGTGAAGCAGCACTTCTCTATTTGCCTGAGAAAACAAATGCCTATAGTTATAAACATTCTTCAAAGCCTAAAGGAAGCACTTGGAACTTCCGGCATAATTTTGTTTTGTACAAAAAAGGAAATTGGCCATCTTGGCTAGCAGCCTTGAATTAAACCAATTAAAAACCAAGTTAAACTCTTACACAAACAACATTTATCTTAAACTAGTTACCAGGTTACAAGAGCCTTCTGGTCTGTAGCTAAATACAAGTGACTTGGTACTCATGGATTTAATGAACAAGGGAGTGAAAGGAAATATAATAAGCAAGTGGTATTTAATGTCAGAGAGTCTTGAAGTACATAAATAATTTCAGATTATGGCAATTGTATCTATTAGAGATAACTTTTACTCTCACAAAGATTTCTGATTTTTTTCATAGTCTCTAGATAAGACTTCTGTAGGACTTAATGTGTTCTAAATAAATCAACAACAACTAGAAGCAGATTTGGTATTTTTGCCGTGGATTTATGGTGGCACTAATATGTATGATTAAAATCTATATTAAATGTTTTGCTTCCCTTCAGTTCATTATATCACAGAACTTGAAAGAAATAACTTATTTAGGACCAGAAAGAAAAGATAATTTGAAAAGAGTTATGTGCAGATGTTTCCTTCTTTCAAAAATTTGTATACTACTGAAATGTATACCATTGCAATAAATTTCATCATAAACTAAAATTCTGTAGCTTACTTGATTTAAAAAGAAGATGGTGAAAAAATAAAACAGAACAAAAACCCAAAATAATAGCCAGTTATAAGAGTGAGCTATCACTCTATTTCTTTTGAGGCTACTGAAACCTGAAGCTTATAAAGAGCTTAAAACGGTTTATTTTTTCACCTTTCTATTTTGTCATATTGTTTGATGCGTGCATGATCAGGACACAAAATAAAATTTTTAGTGGTGATTTCTCAGCTTCTTATCAGATGTCCACTTAATTCAGCCAGAATTTTTCAAGAATTATCATCTGAATTTTAAATGCATATCTTATTTATTTGATATTTATGTTTAAAGCTCTCTACTGTAGTACTCCAGAGTCCCCTCCACATGGTTTCATTGTCAGTCAGACAGGTGGACAGCTCAACAGTATGGTTCGCTGGGCTTGCGATCGAGGGTTTCGGCTCATTGGGAAAAGTACTGCTGTATGCAGGAAGTCTCCATATGGTTATTACTCGTGGGATGTTCCAGTCCCAGCTTGTCAAGGTAAATTCTTTAATTAAAAAAAAAAATACTCTAAGAAACTTCCCTTTTCCTTTTCTAAGTTTTCTGACTTAAAATGAATAGCAGGTAAACATTTCATGGTCATACTTCTGTACCAAAATTTTTCTACCTTATAAAACTTATAAAACTTATAAAAACAAATGTGTTTTAAGAGCCAGGATTTCAAGAGAATTTGCTAAGACTGGCAGATACTAAAAATAACCTATCTCACTGTGAGGGAACCTTTCCCCCCAATACACATGTAAAATATGAAATTATTCAAAAAGTTAATTTAAAACTGAATATATTTAAAGCTCATTTATTGTGATTCAAGAATTACATTAAAATTAATAAAAAAGAAAGACCTGAAACTTGCTACATTTCCAAGAACAGGAAACTGGACCAAGTTTTGCCTATGATGCCATATTTTGCCTATGATACCATTCTAATATTTTGTGGTTTAAATTGAAATTTAAAAGATGATTAATCAGGTTAGCCATATATTTAATTTCTTCTGTCTTATAAAAAACCAAACATATTCTATCTAACAAGGAAAAGGAAATGGTTATTTAATACCCATACCTGTATACTAATTCTTCCTTTCCTGAAAAGAACACTGTTGTTCTGATAATTTGCCTGCGTCTCTATTCAGTGAACTATTAGAATGACTTTTTTTGTTCATGAAAATTTGCAGATGTGCTTGTTCAAAATGTATGCATTTTGTTCCAAGATAAATGCTATTGGAATGCTCCATGTTAATTTCCCCACAAGGTTTGTTTTTTGACCAAAAGTCTTTGAACTGTGTGTTTCTATAAAGCAAAAGAAAAAAAAGTTTGATAAACTTCTTACTGTATGTGCCTATAGTTTTTAAAAAGCTGAAAGTCCTCAAGAGAAAAATACAGTCATGCATTTGCTACATATAATTCTTTGTCTTTTTCACCAAAGGACTGCCATTACACTTATTTGCAGAACTTGGTCAAACTCTTAATTAGATGTATAACATAATGTGGAAAAAAACCCCAAAACACCAAACCAACAAACAAACCCAACTCACCAAATTCAAATACCAGATGATTATTCTCAGCATACTGAGTATAGTTCAGTAAGGGAAATAGTTGCAATACTCAGTAACACTTTAGGAACAAGTGAAGTTAAGTGCTTAGTAATTTCACGATGTCTGATCAAGTACAAAGACTGTTGGCATACTGTAAATTATTTAATTTATTGAATAACAGTTAATTATAATTATGAGGCTAGATTTGATATGTGATATGAACTTTATTTGATTCTTCCTGCAAGACCTTGTTCTGGAAAGTGGTTTCTGGCCATGACATGTAGCTGCAACTCACAACAGCAAACCCTTTGGATTCAACCTAAAGACACATTACTGCAAAACACTTCAGGAATAAGCTGTTTCCATACGTCAGTTATATATCTAAGCTTCCTATTGTTTTGCTGAAGTTAAAATTATTCCACTGTGATGGGTTGACCTTGGTTGGATGCTAGGTGCCCACCCAGCCATTCTATCACTCCCCTTCCCAACCAGACAGGGGAGACAGTAAGATGGAAAACAACTCGTGGGTACGAATAAGGCAGATTATTAAAGCAGAAACCGGGTGAAAGCTTGTGTGCACACAAGCGAAGTGAAAGATAACACAGTTTATTCTCTATTTCCCATCAGCAGTGATGGTCAACCACTCCCGGGAAGCAGGGCTTCAACATATGTAATGGTTCCCTAGCAGGCAGCCACTGGACTCAATGAATGCCTGCCTTCCTGCTCCTTACCTTAGCTTTTATATCTGAGCTGACGTCATATGGCATGGAATATCCCTTTGGTTAGTTTGGGTCAGCTGTCCTGGTTGTGTCCCCTCCCAGGATCTTGCCCTCAATTGAGGGAGGATTGTTACAGTGCTGATGGTGTGCTCAGCAGTAGCCAAAACAGCGGTGTGTTATCAACACCCTTCTAGCTGCCAATGCAAAGCACGGCACTGTGAGGGCTACTGTGGGGAAATGAACTCCAGCTGAACCAGACCCATACACTCACCTGTCCAGATGATACAGAAGGTTCACTCTCTTGTATCAAAAGATTCAGAACACCATCAGTAGATATCCTTCATGTTCTTTCACAGAGGACACTTACAAGGCACAAGAGCTTTGCCATTCCCGCTACTGCTGAACAGTACAGCTTCACCACAAATTCTAACTCTTTAAAGTGTGGGCTAACAGGTTTTAGAACTTCATGATATTGAGTATGAACCACTTGTTTTAACAAGTATTATAATTGTCAGTCAGAATTTGCCAACTATTTTTCCAGGTGATATCAGATAACAATGTCACAGTCCCAACTTCTACTTCCCATTCTCTATCATTTATCGCATAAATTTCAAAGCCATTTTAATCAGTCCTTTCACACATCTGAATGTAGAATTGCCACAAATGACCATTTAACACAGATAAGAAAAAGTATTAGGCTTTATTTTTTTATATAGTATTGCAAGTTAAAAAAAATATATATTTGCAATTTTGCAGCTTCTTTCAAAGCAACATGTCATTTTGATCTATTTTTTTTCTATTTCCAAAATTAAGATTACCAGTCAAATCACAGTAGTAGTAATAGTAATTACAACTATTTCCTATAGGAAATAAAATATCTCAGGCCTCAAAATTATCTGTTCTTTAGTGATACCTCTACAATCTGCACAGCTACTGGATTTTGGTGCTTTGCTGGGTTTTTATAACAATACTAATTGCATTACCTGGCAAGCATTTCTACTTCCTTCAGAATATTTCATGATTTTCTAAACTAATTCTTTGTCTTCACATTTTTCATTCTGTATCTTTACTATTGTTGAGAGTTGTCTTCTGTAGTTAATGAACGTCAATAGCCTTTTTCACTACAACTGCTAATGAGTGACGTTAGAGCAATTTTTAATGTTTTCATTCTTATACCTATATGACTAGAAATCTTGATCTCTGAACCTCTAAATAGATAATACCAGCCATTCTTCGTATCACTTGCACTACAGGACTGGGAGAACCTGAAGCATCCAGACAATGTTTAACCTTGGATGAGAGCTTTTTTACATTATTTACAAAAATAAATAAATCTCAGTGGAAGAGACTAAATGCAGTAGTAAGGAATCAAAGAGAAATACCTCAAACCAGACTTCAGCAATTAACTGAAACCTGTTTCAAAGTTAATACAAAATGACCCTTTATCTGAAAAGGGTCTTCAAAATCTAATATTATATCATATAACAGTAAAAATAATACAAATTATTTATCAACTTTAATGTTCTAACTTTTAGATATTAACTATTCTGTTTATATAGGCATGCATTAAATGAACTATAATGTGAAATTGTTGTTACCTATGTATCCATCTCAGATTAATGATATTAAGTCAATAAAAGTTTCCCATGGTAAATTATAAGATCTGATCATGATAAACTTTTGAAAGAATTAACAGATTTGCACTAGTCTATCTGAGTACAGGAATTAACATGAATTCATATAAATGATTGAATATTTATAACTGATCATAGATCTCAGAAGATTCAAAGTGTTTTAAAGCATTTGGTTTTCTTTCAGTTATTTTTTACATTTGCATTTTTATCCCAGAACTATATGATTCTTGGTTTTTAATTATGAAATATTTCTTTTGCAAATAAATATTGTCTCACACAGGTCTCATTGGAAATCATTATTAGTACTTTATAATATCATATATGGATAGTGGGCAAATGCTTTTACAGGAATTTTAGGTAGAGATTTTAAGTAAGTGAAGTTTAAAACTCAACATTATATCCAGAAAAGTTGTCTACCTCAGTAATCTAAATTGTCCACAAGAGCAGACATATTGTTGTATAAATGGTGATTGTTATGCAAGCTATACTAAAGTATTTAAAAAAATTAAAGATAAATAAATGAGTATCTAAATAGAATTCCAAGAATATATGGTTAGATATGGTACATGATGAGTTATGCTTTTATAAAAAATTAATGGTGTGGAACAAATATCTGATGGGTAAAGCATAATCCTTCTACTTTTAGATTTTTTAGACATGGCTATAGGTTTGAGATAGTCATATTCATGCACATTAGAACAATTACTATAGGTATGTATAAGATAAATAGGTCATATTTATTATAAGTTTTGTATTTATTGCACAGACAAGGTGATAGCAAATAAGTAATAGTTTTCTGTGATGTGTTCAACACAGCGCACCTCTACTGTGGTTTGTAGTTTTTTTTTTAATTTACATCTTATATGCAGGGGTTTTTTTATGGCAATACAAGCATATTCTAACACTGATACTACTACAACTGGAAGTTGTTATAGAATTGGTGCTTTACCTGTGTCTTAGCTGTGATTATTGCCTTTGGTATTATTATATTGCTTATGAAGCAGATCAGTTTTACGTCAGATCACCTCCTAGTAGGGGCAAAAATAGATTAATTTTTTTCCCAAGTATTTATACGTAGTCTGAGAGGATTAACTTTCCTGTGTAGACATGATAGGTACTTTCTTATGGCTCAAGATTCCACTTCAAAGTAAGGTATTTCAGAATTAAGTGCCTAAGCCTTTTTCTTTCCTTTTTTTTTTTTTCTCTGACCTACATTAGATATATTGTGTTAGATGGTGGAAAAGGTTTAGTTTTTTTTTTTTTCTTCCCAAATCGTCAGAGCATTATTTAGAAGCAGATCTTCTCTTGGTATTTTCTTTCTGGTAAAAAAAAAAAAAAAGAGAGAGAGAGAAGAAAAAAAACAGCATGGCTTACATTTTTATTTGCACTTTTCAATTTTCTTCTCTAAGTGGTAGAGGATCCAGCAAGGAGAGGTGCTGGACCTTCTCAGCAACAAGGAGATGCTGAGATGCTGATGAGGAATGTGAAGCTGAAGGGCAGCTTTGGGTGCAGTGACCGTGAAATGATGAAGCGCAAGATTCTTAGACCAGTGAGAAGGGCAGAAGCTTGCTAACTTGACTTCAGGAGAGCAGACTTCAGCCTCCTCAGGGATTTGCTTGGTGGAGTACCATGGAATAAAGCCCTACATTCATGAGAGGACCAAGATAGCTGGTTAATATTCAAGGATCACGTCCTCCAACCTCAGAAATGTTGCATTTTGACAAAGAGGAAGTTAAACAAAGCTCCAGGACACTTGCCTGGATTATCTAGGAGCTCCTGGACAATCTGAAACACAAAAAGGAGGCCTACAGAGGGTGAAAGCAAGGGCAGACAACCCGGGAGGAATACGGACAAGTTGTCCGAGCAGCTACAGATCACGTTGGGAAAGCTAGAGCCCTGATAGAAATAAATCTGTCCAGGGTTGTCAAGGGCAACCAGAACAACTCCTAAAAGAAGCCTAGGGAAAAGGTGGACCCTCTCTAGAAGGAAACAGGAGACATGGGACATGGAGATGGTTGAGGTACTCAGCAATGTTTTTGACTCAGTCTCCACTGACAAGTGCTTTATCCACACTTCCCAAGCAGGGGAGGCAAAGACAAGGGCTGAGAGAATCAGTAACTTCCCACCATAGGAGAAGATCAGGTTCAAGACCGTCTAAGGAACCTGAAGGTGCACAGATCCATGGAACTTGATGAGATGCACCTGTCGGTCCTGAGAGGCATGGTGCACAAAGTGGCAAAGCCACTATCCATCATATTTGAGAAGCTGTGATATTCTGATGAAGTTCCAATTGACTGGAAAAGGAAGAACATAGCCTGCACTCTTAAAAAGGGAACTACAGACCAGTCAATCTCACCTTGGTGCCCGGCAAGATTATGAAACAGACTCCTCTGGAGACTGTGCTAAGGCACATGGAAAATAAAGAGGTAGCCGATGACAGCCAATATGGCTTCATTAAGGGTGATTCATGCCTGACAAATTTGGTGGACTTCCATGATGGGATTACAGTGTTGGTGGATAAGGGAAGAGCAACTATGTCATCTACCTGGACTCAGGCAAAGCATTTGACACTGTCTTGCACAACAGCCTCGTCTCTAAAATGGGGAGACGTGGATTTGTCAATGGATCACTCAGTGGGTAAGGAATTGAATGGATGGCTGCACTGAAAGATTTGTGGTCAGTGGTTCAATGTCCAAGTGAAGAGCAGTGATGAGTGTCACAGCCTGCAGGGTGACTGAGGTGATTGTCCCTCTCTATTCCACTCTTGTGAGACTCCATCTGGAGTACTGCATCCAGCTCTGGTGCCCCTAACATAAGAAGCACCTGGACGTGTTGGAGTGTGTCCAGAGGAGGGCCACAAAGATGATCAGAGGCCTGGAATATCTCCTGTGAAGACAGGCTGAGAGAGTTGCAGTTGTTCAGGCTGGAGAAGAAAAGGTTCCAAGGAGACCTCAGAGCAGCCTATAGGAAACCTGGAGAGGGACTTTTTACGAGGGCATGCAGTGGTAGGACAAGGGGGAATGACTTTAAAATGAAAGAAGATAGGACACATCAGGAAGGAATTCTTCACCATGAGGGTGGTGAGACACTGGAAAAAGTTGCCCAGAAAAGTTGTGGATGCCTCATCCCTGGAAGTGTCAAGGCCAGGCTGGATGGGGCTTTGAGCAACGTGGTCTAGTGAAATGTGTCCTCACTGATGGCAGAACGGTTGGAACTGGAATATCTTTAATGGTCCCTTTCAACACAGGCTGTTCTAAGATTTGATGATTCAGTATTTTCAACAGAGTATTTTCTGCTTTGCAGGTGGAAAAAATAGTATGTTCAAATTTAGTTTTAGTGCTTTGCCAAAGGTCACACAGTACATTTGATGGAAGAAATCTGAACTACCAACCATGTTTGTAGTTTCTCAGATGGTGTCTTACTCATTCAGCCATGCTGGTTGTATTTTTTCCAGATATTCTCTGTTCTCTTTTCTTTACTATCTTCTGCATTTTGAATGGTTAGCTGCAGAGTTATGAACCATTTTTCTTATTTTCATCCTCCTTCAAAAGACAAAATCTTTATTTGATTGAATTCCCTAAAATTTTAAGAGTATTTATTTTCATGCTTAAAACACATATTAAACAGTTTAAAATTATTTTTTATGACTTTAAAACCATTGATGTTGCAATGCATAAACCATTTGAGGTAAGTGGAAACTTATATTGAAAATGTAAAATAACTATGTCTTTCTCTTTACTCAGCAATATCTTGTGGAATTCCTAAAGCTCCATTAAATGGTGGGATATTAACTACAGATTACTTAGTTGGCACCCGTGTTACTTATTTTTGCAATGATGGATATAGGCTATCAGCCAAAGAGCTTACTACTGCAGTCTGCCAACCGGATGGGACCTGGAGCAATCACAATAAAACACCTCGATGTGTAGGTAAGTAACATGTAAAAAGTCCCTAGTAAGAACCTGTGTGTACATTTTGTTTATTAATCCAGGCCATAAATCTTCACATTACTTAAACTTTCATCTTCAGGTTACTTTAATCTATAAATTATTGATGGTATTAAATTGTTATTTGTTACATACATATTTGCAATGTATGTAACTAAGACATGCTGTGACAGCAGAAGAAATATACTAGAGGTTATAGAATACAATAAAACTAATAATTAATTTATAGCTAAATCAAAGTTAATGGTTGCAGAGGTTTATGCAAAAGCCATCTCTTCAGTGAGAGTTGCAAAATTCATATACTGCTAACAAACTCTATTTACTATCCAGAATTGCAAAACCTCTGGGATACTTGTTGGAAACTGCTGCTTATTATTTATATTCAGCCCATCATTATAGTCCTAAACCATCTGAACTTGGGGGAACATCACTGCAGAGAAAATGCATGTTTACTCCCAAAGAGAAATGGATACCAGCAGTTATAAATGGGACGTAAAAACCCAGGTGATTGTAAGACTGATACAGAAATGTCAGAGTATCTGATGCACATTAGGATTTGAATTATCTCATCCAATGAATTTTGGAAATGAAAGAAAACATACCCTAAAGTAATTTTCAAGGATGTTCTCTTTCTCCTTTTTTATTTTCTCGTTCTTTTAAATTGCATTCAATCATGCATTTTCCTCTTTCTAAAGGACCAATCCAAATGGAGAAAAATAAAGTAGGAAATATTGTTATGCATGTTAAACTTTTTTTATTTATCTTGGAGTTGTACAATATTTTTGTTCCATTTCTGGAGGAAGAACACATAGAATTAAGACATGAGATTAAAAATGTATAGCTGCTGAAAAAACAACTTCAACATGGATATTATTTTATCTATCACCAATGTGCAGCCTCTCAAATTTCATGGAGTTTACCTGGGTAGAAAAATATTTGCTGCATTTAAATGTAGCTAACACTTTACTAAAGATTCTGGTGCCTGATATAAAGTGTCACAGGAGGTCCATCTACAGTGAATTCAACCATGCTATAGCTTCTATCTACACTGCTTGCATCACTCTGAATACACAATCCCTGCTCTGGCTAGATGATTATTAATTACATGAGAGAACTCATACCTGCTAACAAAAGGCAATTTCAAATACAGCATTAGTCTTCAAAGATTATGTCACTGTATTTAATAAATATTTTTGAATTAATAACAGTACAGATTTTCCCAGTTTGCCTGTACTAAGCCACAAATAACTATGTGGATTTTTTTATTTTGGCAGTCGTTACATGTCCAAGCATCAATTCTTTTACACTGGAACATGGAAGATGGAGAATAGTGAATGGTTCACATTATGAGTATAAAACAAAAGTAGTTTTCAGCTGTGATCCAGGGTATTATGGTTTGGGACCAGCATCTATTGAGTGCCTTGCTAATGGCACCTGGAGTTGGAGAAATGAGAGGCCTTACTGCCAAAGTGAGTACATGTTGCATCTTCATCTCCTGTATAGACATCAGAAGAAAATATTTTACTGGGTGAATTAGAAAATAGCTAATTAAATATTTAAAATAGTTAATTAGAAAAAGTGTTTCTTGATTGGAATTCCTGGGTATCCAAAAGGCTATTATTGACAAATATAATACATTAGGTTTAGTGACAAGGACATATCTGTAAGCACTCTTCTGGATTTTAAAGGTCCCTATATTTATAAATGTAAAAGGAAGTAGTAGAGAACCTTTTCCTATATATTTTTTTTCGGTCAGGAATGCTGTATGGTCTAGAAAAATGCAAAACCTTTGTATATTGTCTGCATGCTTGATAAATAAACTAATCTCTCCTTTCAGCTAGTTGTCATGTAATGTGCATTTACACACATCCAAATCATTCCTACCATTAGCTGGTGTGCTGATAACCTGAAGTAGTTAATTTTCAAAAAATAAGTAATGAATATTGAGATATTTAAAGCAATTAAATGTGCTTCCCGCACCCACCCCTGTGAAAAGCAAGTTTCTTCATACATTTGAATTTAGACACCTCTTTTTCAAAACTGTAGGGTTTTGGTTACACTTTGAAGCCCCAGAACTCTTTCTCTTTATGGAACAACTTGTGATGTGGGACATGATTGAGCTTTTGGTGCATGTATTGAAAACATATCTGCACATTCGTGTAAAAATCCAAACATACTGAAAAAGTTTGCAGATGAGTCAGATAACTATGGCTTTAGAATTTATTGACAATAAACACAAAACTAATAAAAAAAAAAGAAGTTAAAAAATGCAGTTTCAAAACCAGGTATTATTACATTGGAAATTAACCTTAATTTTGATTTCTTTATAAGTGGAAATATAATTTATAATTTAGAGTATTTTTAAAAGTTAATTGCAATATTTCACCTCTGCTAGTATTAAAAATACTGTTTATATGTCTGTATCTATATCTCTCTGTGTATATAGATATTTTACATATAAAATTTGTATTTTTAACCCTTTTTTCTTTAAAAGACAAACTATTTTTCACTGTTTTGAGAAGTTTTGTTTGAAATATTACCACTTTTTTCAAACATAAAGTGCACTAGCTGCTTTCACCCTCTTATTTAGTAATAGTAAAGCTATTTTTATTATTAAAAGAAAATTGATAAAGAAAAAAATATTATTTTGAATGAAAAGATGCTTTGAATTGTAAATAAATAGCAAGGAATTCCATGAATATAAATCACTCCTTTTAAAAATGATATGTGTGAATGGTGAGGTAAGCATGTCATTATGAACTAGAAGATCAAAACAACATCTGCCCAGAGAAACATAATTTTAAAACTGACAATTGTGGTATTCCAATATGCAAGACAAGTACTTGATAAAACCAAAATTAAACTGAATTTAATAATGTTCCTAATGGCTTTTTTAGGTTTACAGAAACAATTTTAATTGGTTTTCCCCCTCTCTTTCTTAAGTATTATTTCTAGGGAAGTAACAGTATTTATTTGCAGTTTTTAATCTATTTTTTCTACAGAACAAAATGCTTCAAGGTGTGAAATCCGGTTGACTGGTTGATAAGTATTACTGGTAGATAAGTATTATTTTATGTGTGTTTGTGATACTTAACTGTACATTTCTGTTTTGTTTTGGTTTTGTCATGAAGTTATTTCTTGTGGAGAACTTCCTACACCTCCCAATGGAAATAAGATTGGAACTCAAATCACCTATGGATCTACAGCTATATTTACCTGTGACTCAGGATACATGTTAGTTGGCTCTGCAGTGAGGGAATGTCTGTCATCTGGACTCTGGAGAGGAATTGAGACGAGATGTTTAGGTACAGATACTGTCATGACTTGACTATTTTCTTTCTCTCTAGCAGACAAAAGTAAGCAAAGACAAACAGCTTGTCTCTTTCTGTTAGCAGAGACATTGAAGAGGGATCTGCATGTGTGTGGCTGGGTGGGTTGTTTTTCTTACCAAAGTATAAGAAATTATCAAATTATATAATTACCTTTTCAGAAATTTTAATATCTTTCCAACATGCAAAACCTGTTACTGTATTTATGTGTATGTCTTCAAAGTAGAACTATACACAAAAAGCAAGACAGACTGATTCCGTATGTGTCAGCATTAATACATATCCTCAGTAAAAATATCTGCATGGTAGCCTGAACTCAGTGGTAGTGTTATGGAATTAAACTGTACTCTTGAAAAGATACAGAAGGAGATAAAAAAAGTTTTTGCAAACTTTGACAGGACCACTGCAGCCATGTTTCTAAGAGAGTCACTGTCCGGCCACTATTTATGCAATTTGACACCCTTTACTTGTACATGTTTAGGTATCTTCACCTATTTGAAATACTCAGACATCAGATGAACACATGGAACAATTTCAAGGTTCTTTCTGATTCATCATCTTGTGTACCTTGAGCTGGGTTATTGTCTTTATTATAGAGACATTGATTTTGACTCTATATGCAATCAAAATTTTAATTTCAGTTGAAATCAAAGCTGTGATTGTATTCTGATTTAGAATGAAATACGTAAGTCATATTGTATTTTGTCACTTGGGAGGCATGAGTATATTACAGAATATCCATAAACAGAGACTTTCAGAAAATCTGAACTAATATATATTTTAAATATAGGGGTTTGTTGCAATACCTCTTTGTGCAGATTGCCATTCACCTTTTTAAACTACTCTCCATCCAAAATAATTTTCCTTCTCCAATACACCTTATTTGGTGCAAATCTGCACTTAAGTGAATGACTCATGAATGAGCAAAGGTTTTGCTTATCAAACTACAAGTCTGAAGCTGGAATGTTCCCTGACATACAGCTGAGAGGGGCAGAGTCCTTGTTTATTTTTCACTTTTACAGTGGAAACCATTCAGCAGAGGAGGGGGAAAAAAGAAAAGATCTTCATGTTTGATAATTTTTTTCTTCTAAATTATCAGCAGTTATAAAACAGATTGTTTTAAATCTAAAAGTTTTAAGGCCCCTTAGTATGTAGGTAATCAAAATGTTCTGCTTTTGTTGTTTGTTAGTTTGGGTTTTTTTTTCATTTTTACTGATTTGTCTGCAAAAGTTACAGCTATTGGAGTTTGGAGAAATGTAAAAATATTAATCAGAGAAATATTAATCTAAAAACAGCCAAATTGCCTTCTATTTGTGAATAGCATCTTGAAAAAATACTTGCATTTAAGAATTTTACCAAAATAACTTCATGCCAAGTGAAGATCATCACAGAGTGAATTGAATTTCTCTTACATTTGCCTATAGAAATAAAAATGTAATACAATCTTAATAGTACTAACAGGTTGCATAGTCTTTACTTGCAACTTAAAGAAGACTCCTGCTTCTCAGAAAATATTAGTTATTATTAAGTTCATATGCTGTAATGTCCAGGAATAAGAAACAGTTAAGAAAACAACTATATGACTGGAGGTGAAAACTAATCTAAAAAGACACCTTTCGTATCAGGCATAGGAGCACAGCAAATCTTTAAATGTATATCTTCAAAGCTTTATTGATGGCAAATTGTTGAAGATAGCATGAATGTTTTACAGAAAGAAATAGAATGTAGTATACTTCATATATATAGCAAGCAAAAAAGCATGTATATCTTGGCCAAAGAAAAAAAAAAAGAAAAAAGAAAACTAGTGACAGAGCAAATTAATAAAAGGGAGCAATGGCTGCCCTAATTGCTTTTGCAACAACACTGCCTTCTATGTTATATCCCTGTGCAGAAATCAGCTTCTTGCAAAAACTCAGACTAACTCAGTTCAATTCTTCTTTCTTCCACAAGTAATTTAAGACTTAAGATAGAAGGACGAGTTGAGCTAATGACAAATCAGAAGTCAGAAATGTTTTTAAGAAGGAAGAGAAAGAAAATGCTGTTGGAAGGTGGAGGAAATGGTGGACATTAAAGAAATATTAGAATGTGAGAGAAAAGGAGATAAAATACAGGAGGAAGATCTACAGAGTGGGTATTTTAATGGTTCAAGAAATTAATTTTTGTGCAACTTATCAGTAAATTCTGGTATTTGTTTTCAATAACTGAAAAATAGTAAGAAAAAATTTATTTTCACTCTCTACTTCTAAAGTTTTTGTACTCACAGCTGTAAATATTTTCTATCGTTTATCACTTGTACTTGCTGAGAAATGTATTTATGATTGGACTGAGACGACTACCAATGTATTTCTGTTTTAAGTTTTGAAGATGCCCTGCAAAATCACTTAGATGACATTAATGAAATCCTATAGGATAACATAATACACTTTTCCAACTATTTTGTTTTAAAATACCAGTTATTTTTTTCAAAAGTGTTACTCAAATTATTTCATTGCATTGCTGCGTTAGACAACTTGATTTTCATTCCAATTATGTGTAATTTGAAAAATTATGAAAGGTAAAATAAACGGGAGTCTAAGTATTCTGCAACAGAACTTAAAACTAGTTCATGTTGAACCTAATCAGAGAGAAATGACAACTAAAACAGAGGTAAGCTTTATTTCATTGATTTTTTTTTTCGTTTTGGCTTCTTTTTAAAAAAAAGAAGGATAATATTTTATGGATATTGAATCTGTTGCAAAAATTGGAACATTTAACACAACTGCCCTCCTTTCTGAATATCACTTTATTTTTCCTTAAAGAATACCTAAATAACAATGTAGTACTCCACAAATCATCACATAATAATCTCAGTTTTAATACAATGTGGTAGGAAATTGAGTTCTGAATCTTGTTCTCCATAGCTGGTGAGAAGAAACAATGTTCAAATTGAAAAAAAATAACAAAACAAAAGAGAGCTTCTGAAGTAATTCCATTGTCAAAATTTTCAAAACAAATATTTCAAAATATTTTATTGTGAAGAAATACGAGAAAAAAATAATTTTGGTCTTTTAGAATAAAATAACAGGCAAAGATAAAAATCAGGACTGTTGTGTCTTCAAGGTTGCAGACTGCCCCTCACAATTTATTGTGTTTGATCTTTTTCGGAAACAGTTTCTGGGGGATAGTCTATGTAGTAAATCCTGGTGAAACATTCAGAAACATAGAACAGATTATTGCTGAATATACTACTTATAAAAAGAGAGTGAAAAATCTGTGATTTTGTTATACGATTTCCTCTTGGACAAATATTTAAATATGTTTCCTGTATTATTTCAGTTAACATTTTAGAAAGCCTAGTCCAAAACACTCAACAAAGTAAAACTTACAAAGGAAAGTATAGCATGCTTTGAAAAGTCTTTCTGTTGGATGCAATTCTTCTTATATATAATGGAGCACCTGCTTTCTTAGATTATTCCAAAGCATTCAGATTTCATACTTCTCTTCTGGAGGCATGTAATTTAATTGAGTTTCTCTCAATTATGTGACTGATAGCAATTTTAAAAGATGTTTAGACATCTCATCAATGAAAGCCATGTGAAAAAACAGGGAAAATTATTATTTTTAAGTAATAGTTTAACTCATTAGAGGAAAGGTATCTTATGCACACTTTTCTTTTTTGTTGATTGGTGATCTTACTCCATGTTCTCACATTTCTTGAAGTTGTGACTTTGTCCTCTTCATCTCAGGTATACTACACTTAAAACTTTTTACCTAATTCCTTCTCCATTCCTCATGACATATTGATAAAACAGATTGTTTTGTATTGTCTCCTTTATTTACCAGAAGTTATTGCTGTTATTTCCTGCAGGGAAAGACTCAACAACTGCTGGAACAATAGTTTTGTTCAGTTCTGCAACTTAGTATTAAATCTAAAATCAATATAAACCATGAAATATAATTACATTATTTTAGTTATTGTAGTTATTTTAGTTCACTTGGAGAAGTAAAGACGCCTTTATAAAATGCTGTGTCCATATGAATAAAAATGCAGAAATGAAGAATGGAGTTTACTTGGTGAATAAGGCATAAAGAAGTGTGGTTCCAATACTGGGCTAATACTAGAGGAGTTTTCAATACAGACAGATGGGTAGCAGAAAAAAGCTATTTGGGTTAGAGGGTACATTAAATGTCAGCATTTGTACTTCCTATATAATAATATCAGGAAAACCTTTCATCTATTCTCCTAAGAGAAATATTAAACCTGTGCCTTTGTCTGCATTAACACATAATCCAGCAGAAAGAATAGATCACGAGACAAGTAATTGATTCTGAATTTTCTATATCTGTATTACATATGTTTCAGATAATTGTCCTTGGACTGTATCTGGTCTCGTCCTCTGGGCTAAATGTCATCATTACTCATATGATTCTGACTTGTCAAAAAGACCTGTCAATAATGTTGACCGCTTTGTCTCCAAAAGGAGATGAAACACTTGTTTTGTGCTCCTAGAGACTTCTCAATGTACTTCCTCTGAAAGGAAGCTAATTTGTTCATAGTAAAACCACTCAGCACATTTAAGAGTTCGAAGGAAGAGATGAACCAAAATGCTAATGTATACACAACCTTTGACTTGTTAGCTGGGGAATATTTACCCCAGTTTTACTCAACTTTTCGTTTTTTCATAAAAAAATACCAGTTTTAAACACTAATGAGTCATTAGTGGCAGCTTGTTACTCATAAAGGAAAGAATAGTTATCAAACAGCTCTGTACAGAGCAGTGCTGTCAACAGGGTCAAAAGAATAGCAGACTTACTGTCTGGGGCAAAGAAACCATGTAAGCTGACAGTGAAAAATATTCAGTGCATTAACTTACCAGTGCTAGTTTTTATATTTTCCCAATCAGCTTTCAGTCGCTGAAAGGTTTCTGTGGGTATGTAACCTCTGAAGTGTAACCTTCCTACCACTATTTTCATACTTAAAACTTCTAGAAAAATAT